TCTGCCAAAGTGGATGAGATAAGGCTGTTGGCTCCAAGGCTTCTGTCTGAGACCGGCGGGGTAAAAAGATTGTTGATCCACGTGGGGGCAGTAGACGTCTATGACAACACAAGTGAAAAGTTGAAACGGGATTACTCTCTATTATTGGACGACCTTGCTAAAATGGACACAAAAATCGTTATCAGTGGCCCACTACCAAATGTGGACGGGAAGCAAATGAAATTCAGTCGTCTGTATCAGCTAAATACTTTCCTACTCAACGAATGTTCACGCAGAGGACTTGCCTTCATTGAGAATTTTAATCTGTTCTGGAATAGGCATGAGCTTTTTGAAGGGAAAGGGCCACATCTGAACACTTACGGAGTAAAAGTGTTGATGGATAACCTTTCTTTTGCCCTGAGACCTCAGCCTGCGCAGCGCGTGCAGCCATCGAAAGGGAGGAAGCCAACTCCAAAAGTCTCTGCACCTCCACCACCTCGAAGGATCTCAACACCACCACCACCTCGAAAGATCTCAACACCATCACCGCCTCAAAGGATCTCAACACCTCCACTGTCATCAGATGCAGCTGCATCATCACCAGCAGCAGCTGCATCATCACCAGCAGCAGCTGCATCATCACCAGTAGCAGCACCAGCAGCACGACCACCACCACCAACATCCTCATCCCCAGCCTGCTCCAAAGCAGCCACGCCTTCTTCATCTACAGCGCCTCAGAAGCCCCCATCCTCACCCCAGCCTACAGCAGACAGGCCTGTGCGGGGGTTTCCTCAACCACCTGCCCCTCCATCAAAGACTCCCTCGCCACCTCCCATGGACCTGTCTTGGGTCCCCCCTGCCACGTCCACTCCATCAAGAGAGAATGGGGACACCTCCCTTTGTTTTTCATCCCCGCCTTCACTGTTAGACCTACCTGAACACTCTGCAGGGCTAATAAAATCGGCCATGAAGACTATTCCTCTCACACCCATATTAGCTCGATCTAGAGTCCTGTCCAACATGCTAAACCACTCCCCATATGTACCTCCAAAACCACCTAGGGTTTCCAATTCACCTACAAAAACCACCTCAGCCAGTCCCTCCCCTAACCTCATGACCATTCCACCCCCACTTCCCCCTCGTTCAACATCCAAAACCTCTGCCTCAGCCCACCCCGGCCCTAACCCATCACCTAAAACCCCTCCACCTCCCTGCCCCCCTCGTTCAACACCCAAAAGCCACCCACCTCTCCATCCTCCTCCCCTGCCTTCCCCTTCCCCTCTTTTCTCTAAACACTAGGATGCACAGGGTCTCTGCTTCGCAGCCACTGGCAGTCTAGTTAGAGGAGAGACCCGGCTGGGGCCCTGTCATGAAGCCACCTGTGCCATTCCCTTAGTGATAACACAAAGAATACATTACAGAAAAACATCTGGAGTTAATCAGTCTAATCTGGAAAATCTAATTCTTGTTCCGTGTAAGTAAGTAAGTAAGTAAGTAAGTAAGTTTGTATTTATATACCGCCTTTTCACTGCAGATCTGAGTCTCAAAGCGGTTTACAATTGTTAATTTTGGGCATTTGTCTCTCACTCCACACAGATGGGAGCGGGGTCGCCAGTACAGGAGGCGCATGCCAGAACTATTGGACATATTTTTAGTGGTAGGGGAAACCGGAGTACCCGGAGGAAACCTACGCAGACACGGGGAGAACATGCAAACTCCACTCAGAAAGGCCCTGGTCCGGCCGGGATTCGAACCCAGGACCTTCTTGCTGAGAGGCGAGAGTGCTATCCACTCAGCCACCGTGCCGCTGATACTGAAACTTTGAAACTTGCTACGCTTAATGTCAGATCTCTTTGTAACAAGTCTTTTTTAATCAATAATTTTATTTCTTCTCATAATCTTGATCTTATGTTCATGGCTGAAACTTGGCTTGACCAAAATTCAGAAAATGCAGTTTTAATAGAAGCATCACCACCAAATTTCAAGTTTGAATCTGAAATACGGGAAAACAAAAAAGGAGGAGGCTTAGCTGCCATTTTTAGAGACCACTTTGTCTCCCATAGAATGTCTCTTGGGAAGTTTTCGTCATTTGAATATGTGTCTTTTAAAATACAACAAAAACAATCTCCTCCAATACTCTTCATTGTCCTATACAAGCCACCGCAGTCATGTCACAGTTTTATTGATAATTTTACCGAGTTGCTTTCAGTTGTATGCACAGATTTTGATAGTTTGGTTATTACAGGTGATTTTAATATTCATGTGGATAATGTTGATGACAGAAATGCAAATGAGCTGAGTTCCATACTTGAATCCTTTGATCTCACTCAGCACGTAAGTGGCCCCACCCACAGCAAAGGGCACACTCTATATCTGTTAGTTACAAAGGGGGTGAATATTTCAAATGTAAACGTGGTCGATGTTGCTCTTTCGGATCATTTCTGTGTTTTTTTTGACATGTGTTTCACTAACAAACCACCAGTGGACTCTGCAACTGTTCGAAGAAGGCGCATAAATGAAAATACGAGTGAACTATTTATGGGAATGATAAACTTTGAGAATGCATCGTATTCTACTGTAGATGAACTGTTTAACTCTGTCACCTCTAGTGTTTTGAATGTTCTGGATACCGTTGCCCCTGTGAAGGTTAAAATAGTGAAAAATAAGCAGAAGGCGCCGTGGGCTAAAGCAGACTCGGTCAGGGCACAAAAGAGAAAGTGCCGGAGGGCCGAGCGGAAGTGGCGCAAGTCCAACCTCCAGGTTGATTACGAGATCTTCAAAGATAAGTTGTGCGAGTTTAACCGGGTGCTACGTAGTACGAGATAAAGGTATTTTTCTGAAATGATTGAAGGCTGCAGCAACAATCTGCGTGTTCTGTTCTCAACAGTTAATAGATTAACAAACCCCCCTGTTCAAATGCCATTAGAGCTTACTTCCAAACGTAAATGCAATGAGTTTGCTCATTTTTTCAATGACAAGGTTCAAGGCATCAAAAACGCCATTGTCTCCAATCCACAGATAACCATCCAACAACCAGAAAGGCTATCTGAGCTAACTCACTTTGCACCTGTAAATGATCAAACTGTCCAAGAGATAATCTCCAGTTTGAGCTCCTCCACATGCAGCTTGGATGTACTACCCACTAGATTTCTGAAGTCTGTTCTGAGCAGTCTGTTACATTCACTCACACAGATAGTAAACATGTCCCTTCATTCTGGAATATTCCCAAAGGCCCTGAAAACTGCAGTCATCAGGCCCCTGCTAAAAAAGAGCAGTCTCGATGCTACGGTACTTAACAACTATCGTCCCATCTCAAATCTGCCATTTATGGGGAAAGTCCTTGAGAAAGTTGTCTACCTACAGCTTACTAGATTTCTTATAATCAACAACTCATTTGATATGTTTCAGTCCGGCTTTAGACCCCACCACAGCACTGAGACTGCTCTCGTTAAGGTTACAAACGATATCCGGCTGAACACTGACGCAGGCAAAGTCTCAATCTTAATCTTGTTAGATCTAAGTGCTGCCTTTGACACCGTCGACCATGAGATCCTCTTACAGAGACTAGAGGACTGGGTTGGAGTCGCTGGCACCGCCCTAAGTTGGTTTAGGTCTTACCTTGAAGACAGGAAGTACTTTGTGGAGATTGGAAACTGTGTCTCAGATCATATGGCCCTGACCTGTGGAGTCCCACAGGGGTCGATCCTGGGACCTCTTCTGTTCAATCTCTACATGCTGCCGTTAGGTCAGTTAATACGCAGAAACAAAGTTTCCTATCATAACTATGCAGACGACACTCAGATCTATGTCTCACTGACTGCAGGAGAACATGGACCAGTGGACTCACTCCTTCACTGTATCCAACAGATCAGTGAGTGGATGCAAAACAACTTCCTTCAGCTAAACGCAGACAAAACTGAAATGATTGTCTTTGGTCCCCAGAAACAAAGAGAGAGCGTCATCTGTCATCTACAGTCTCTCTCCCTAAAACCTTCAAACAAGGTCAGAAATCTAGGGGTAATACTGGACTCAGACTTAAATTTTAATAGCCACATCAAATCAGTAACATCAGCAGCTTTTTACCATCTAAAAAACATTGCCAGGATCAAAAACATAGTGTCTAAAGCAGACTTGGAGATTCTTATCCATGCATTTGTCTCCAGTAGGTTAGACTACTGCAATGGCCTGCTCACAGGTCTGTCCAAACAGGCTGTAAAACAGCTGCAGTACATTCAAAATGCAGCAGCTCGAGTCCTGACTAGAACCAGGAAGTACGACCACATTAGTCCTGACTAGAACCAGGAAGTACGACCACATTAGTCCAGTTCTCAGGTCCCTGCACTGGCTTCCTGTGGCTCAGAGAATAGACTTTAAAACAGCTCTGCTTGTGTACAAGTCTCTCCATGGCCTCGCACCAAAATATATTAGTGACATATTAGTACCATATGAACCAGCCCGGACTCTGAGGAGCACAGGGACTGGACTCCTGCTGGGACTCTGAGGAGCACAGGGACTGGACTCCTGTTAGTGCCCAGAGTCAGAACTAAACATGGGGAGGCTGCTTTTCAGATTCATGCTGCTAAAATCTGGAACAGTCTTCCTGAAGATGTGAGACAGGCCTCCTCTCTGACAATGTTTAAAACCAGGTTAAAGACAGTTCTGTTTAACTGTGCATACAACTGAGGGATTTTATATTTCTATCTTTTCTTTTTAATGTTCTGTGATAATTTATGATTTTAATGCTTTCTTGTTTTGTTCAGCACTTTGAATTGCCTTGTGTATGAATTGTGCTATATAAATAAACTTGCCTTGCCTTGCCTTGCCACTTTGCTCTCTGATTGGTTGCCGCATGTGTGGCCAGCGGAAAAAGTTCAACAATGTTCATCTCCTGCTTTTGCTGCATGCATCGAGTCTCCGTACCCACTATCCACTGTCCACCCACCTGCGTGCCGCAACGCACATGCAATTCCTCGCACGAACGCACGTCACCAGTGACATTGCATTGAAACTGGACGCAACGCATGATCTGGTGTGAATGCCCTTTACGAAGCACGCTGCCAAAGCCAAGAAGCCAAGAAGCTAAGAATGCACCCAACCCCAAGAAGAAGGCGGTGAAAAAGCTTGCAGCCAAGAAGGCCAAGTCCGCTGCAAAGAACTTGGCCAAGAAGCCCGCCAAGAACCCCAAGAAGGTAGCCAAGAAGTCTGCAAAGAGCCCCAAGAAGGCCGTGAAGAAGACCCCTAAGAAAGCAGCAGCAAAGAAGGCTCCTCCCAAGAAGGCCAAGAAGTAGACTTGAGCTGAGATGTCTATGAGCCTCCAAAAAGGCTCTTTTAATCTCCACCACTGCTGTGGTTCTAGGTGAACTTCAAAATAATAGGAATATTTCAACGTAACATGTCCCGTGATGACAGAAGATGGTCTTTGGCATTAATTAGACATTCCTTAATGGGAAACTCTGGGTTCTGATGCCAGCAGTCTGTTATGCACATGAGTAGAGGAATTCCCCCACATGTACACGTCAAAATGCACCTTCAAGGAAACTTTGTTGTAATATTTAACCTATATTGCAATAGTTTTAAAATTTGACCTATAAATGTGCATGAGAGCTGTCATAACAGCGTATGTGGCACATTTGTAAAACTTCATCATAGCCTCTGTGCAGCCTTAGAACGCGGACTGTTTACATCTCAGTTTGTATACATTTTAGCGCAACCATGTCAATTGAACAAGACGTATGGAGAGATCGGGTCATTAATCAAACTAAAGGATTCTTTCCTTGGCGGCCCAGTTCGAATGACCGGGAGTTGAGGACCACTGTCAAAGGCGACACATTATCCTAAACAGCTACCGTAGTGCCGTAGACTACAATATATGACCTAAACGCTGGACTGGAGTAAAAAATACACAGTGTACCTTTAAATCATGACACTTTATTCTTTAACGTTTAGAATCAACTATCCAATTTTAAATATGTGTTTGAAATTGTTTGTAGAAGTATCCAACAACCTTCTCCTTGCAGCTGACTCCGGTTCCCTTTCTATCCTCCTTGATCTCAGATTCTGCCTCCTTGACCATCGACCATTCAACCCTCCTCCACTGTCTTCAATCTATCAGCATCTCAAACACTGTTCTATCCTGGTTTTCTATCCTGGTTTTCCTCTTGCCTCTGTGATTGTCATGATTATGTTTTCCATCAAAAACTGCAGATCCCTCACCTCCCCTGTCTCCACTCGTGTTCCCCAAGGTTTGGTACTCGGGCCCCTCCTCTTCATAATTGTCATGTTTCCCCTTGGCCAGATCATCGGTACTCCATCATGGACTCCACTTTCACTGCTACGCCAATGACACCCAGGTCTACATCTCCACCAAATCCATCTCCCCACTCATCCTCTCCACCATCACACAGTGCATCACCGACATCAAATTCTGGCTGGACAAAACTTTCTTAAACTCAATAGCACTAACACAGAACTTCTCATCATTGGACTCAAGTCACTCTGTAACAGACCGGCAGTTCGTTATTTTACACACACGCACTTTAAACACTCATGCACTTTACTATGTCACCGGCCCTTTTATGCACACCACACTTTTTATAAAAACATTGCACACAATTGTCATTTGAAATTATTTATTAAAAAACTTGTTTGTTGTTGTCCGTGGGTGCATTCCAGGTAGTGGCGCCGGTCCTGCAGAGACAACATCAATTGCAATGGGCATAGTGCAATTAAATGTGTAGTTTTGGATTTTGTAATGTTTTAGGTGTTGTTTGCATGCAGTGAATGGTCGGGTGTCTGAGAGTGTGTGAATGTGTGGGTGAGGTGTCGGGGAAAAAGAGTCCTGGAAGAAGTCGTGGAAGTTTTATACCGGAGCTCGTAAATATATTATATACTGTATATCTCTGTTTCTGACAAATTAATGTTATATATATATATATATATATATATATATATATATATATAAAGTACAAACCAAACGTTAGGACACACTTTCTCATTCAATTAGTTTCCTTTCTTTTCATGACGATTGACTGTAGATTTACACCCAGGCTGTGTAAGGGCTATTTGACCAATAAGGAGAGTGGTGGGGTGCTGGACTAGATGACCTGGCCTCCACCGTCATCAGACATCAACCCAATCCAGATGGTTTTTGGGGTGAGCTGGACCACACTCTGTGGTCCAGCTCAAGGTTGTGGGTTCGAGCCCACCACAAGACCTACTTCACGACTCCCACTGATGACTGCTGTTGTTGTGTCCTTGGGCAATACACTTAACCCCACTTTGCCTGAAGCCTCCGCTGAAAGAACAATACTAATATGGACTCACCACCTGCAGGAGGATCAGTGAGGGGCTGGTGCTATGTGTACTGGGTGCAGATCTGACTGCCACCCCCCCCGACCCAGAAATGGATTAAGGGGAAGAAAAATGACTGTTTACATCTCAGTTTGTATACATTTTAGCGCAACCATGTCAATTGAACAAGACGTATGGAGAGATCGGGTCATTAATCAAACTAAAGGATTCTTTCCTTGGCGGCCCAGTTCGAATGACCGGGAGTTGGGGACCACTGTCAAAGGCGACACATTATCCTAAACAGCTACCGTAGTGCCGTAGACTACAATATATGACCTAAACGCTGGACTGGAGTAAAAAATACACAGTGTACCTTTAAATCATGACACTTTATTCTTTAACGTTTAGAATCAACTATCCAATTTTAAATATGTGTTTGAAATTGTTTGTAGAAGTATCCAACAACCTTCTCCTTGCAGCTGACTCCGGTTCCCTTTCTATCCTCCTTGATCTCAGATTCTGCCTCCTTGACCATCGACCATTCAACCCTCCTCCACTGTCTTCAATCTATCAGCATCTCAAACACTGTTCTATCCTGGTTTTCTATCCTGGTTTTCCTCTTGCCTCTGTGATTGTCATGATTATGTTTTCCATCAAAAACTGCAGATCCCTCACCTCCCCTGTCTCCACTCGTGTTCCCCAAGGTTTGGTACTCGGGCCCCTCCTCTTCATAATTGTCATGTTTCCCCTTGGCCAGATCATCGGTACTCCATCATGGACTCCACTTTCACTGCTACGCCAATGACACCCAGGTCTACATCTCCACCAAATCCATCTCCCCACTCATCCTCTCCACCATCACACAGTGCATCACCGACATCAAATTCTGGCTGGACAAAACTTTCTTAAACTCAATAGCACTAACACAGAACTTCTCATCATTGGACTCAAGTCACTCTGTAACAGACCGGCAGTTCGTTATTTTACACACACGCACTTTAAACACTCATGCACTTTACTATGTCACCGGCCCTTTTATGCACACCACACTTTTTATAAAAACATTGCACACAATTGTCATTTGAAATTATTTATTAAAAAACTTGTTTGTTGTTGTCCGTGGGTGCATTCCAGGTAGTGGCGCCGGTCCTGCAGAGACAACATCAATTGCAATGGGCATAGTGCAATTAAATGTGTAGTTTTGGATTTTGTAATGTTTTAGGTGTTGTTTGCATGCAGTGAATGGTCGGGTGTCTGAGAGTGTGTGAATGTGTGGGTGAGGTGTCGGGGAAAAAGAGTCCTGGAAGAAGTCGTGGAAGTTTTATACCGGAGCTCGTAAATATATTATATACTGTATATCTCTGTTTCTGACAAATTAATGTTATATATATATATATATATATATATATATATATATATATAAAGTACAAACCAAACGTTAGGACACACTTTCTCATTCAATTAGTTTCCTTTCTTTTCATGACGATTGACTGTAGATTTACACCCAGGCTGTGTAAGGGCTATTTGACCAATAAGGAGAGTGGTGGGGTGCTGGACTAGATGACCTGGCCTCCACCGTCATCAGACATCAACCCAATCCAGATGGTTTTTGGGGTGAGCTGGACCACACTCTGTGGTCCAGCTCAAGGTTGTGGGTTCGAGCCCACCACAAGACCTACTTCACGACTCCCACTGATGACTGCTGTTGTTGTGTCCTTGGGCAATACACTTAACCCCACTTTGCCTGAAGCCTCCGCTGAAAGAACAATACTAATATGGACTCACCACCTGCAGGAGGATCAGTGAGGGGCTGGTGCTATGTGTACTGGGTGCAGATCTGACTGCCACCCCCCCGACCCAGAAATGGATTAAGGGGAAGAAAAATGAATGAATGGACCAGAGAGTGAAGGCGAAAGGGCCAACAAGTGCTCAGCATCATTGGAACTCTTTCAAGACTGTTGTAAGACCATTTCAGGTCACTATCTCTCGAAGCTCATCAAAAGAACGCCAAAAGTGTGCAAAGCAATAATCAGAGCAAAAGGTGTCTTTGAAGAACCTAGAATACAAGACATGTTTTCAGTTGTTTCATACTTTTTTAGTACGTACATAATTCCACAGTTCCTTCATAGTTTTGAGGCCTTCAGTGAGAATCTACAATTTTGATAGTCATGAAGACAAAAAACTCTTGAGATGGGTGGGTGTGTTCAAACTTTTGGTCTGTACTGTATATATATTGGGTTTTAAGACATAGTTTAGTTAGGTGGTTTGGTGGGGACTGTACATAGCAGGAGTTGTTTCTTTTTTCTTCATATTATGGTTAGGGGTTTTACTGGAGGATTTAATGGGAAATTAAAAGCTATTAATAAATACATTTGATTTATAATGCACTTTACATTTCAATGAAATCTCAGAGTGCTACAGAACAGGGAAACATCCCCAAGAATACACACCAATAAAAAATAAAAAATAAAAAAAATTACAAATCTTAAAGAGAATACCTGCTTAGATTTTGTGGTTTATCTGCTTTTAGAAAGAGGGTATATAAGGCACCATATTCCCTCACTCGATGTCCTGCTGCTGGAGAAACTACACTGGTTGAATCCTCCAAAGCACTTTATTTTTGTATTTTTGCACAAAAAAGGAAAAAAATTCAAAATGGTGTTTGTTCCCCCACCGCCGCCCGCTCGTGCCTCCTTGTCACAAACTCCTTCCCTCTGCTCATAATATCTCCCTCAACATTGACTCTCTGTACGCAACCTCTGCGTTATCATGGACTCCACCCTCTCGCTTAAACCCCACATCCACCCAATCTCATCACCAAACTATAAATGTTTCCCCTTCTGTAACGACACCGCCCTCCATCTCAAAATCCATTGCTGTTTACTTTACTACTACTACTTTACTATTACTGGTTCACGCCTTCATCACCTCCAGACTCCGCTACTGCAACAGCCTCCTCTACCGTTCTTCCCTCCAAACATTTCCAAGAACTACTACA